AGAGGAAAAACGTTTGGTGTGCATTTGGATAATACTACAATTTTGGGATTTTGCTCATTTTGAGATTTCTTTAGACCAGGTTGTGAATGAATTGAGATCTTTATAGCATGGTTGGATATAAAAAGTTTTTGTTTTGATTGGATTTTTGGTTTGTGTTGATTAAATTTAAAAAAGTTGGTATGGTTAGTTGTTAGTGGGTATAATAAAATAATATTTAAAATAAAATAATTAAAATTAAATTGATGTAAAAATAGGAGAGAGAAGATGTGATGTGATGGTTAGTTAAAATTATCTGAGTTGATGAATAGTGAATTAAGGTTGATGTTGTGTGTAAGAATGATTATTGATATTATTTAATTATATTGATAATATTGATGATAGTGGGATTGAGTTAAAGTTGAGTTAAAAAAAATAGTTGAGTTAAAAATAATTAGATTTTTTTGGGTTGTCTGTACCTGTGATTACTTCTACCCGAGTACCATGTTTTGTTTTTTTTGTTCTACTGATTTATTACAGGTACTTCTATCCGAGTACCATGTTTTGTTTTTTTTTGTTCTACTGATTTATTATTGAATTGTGCATGATATTTGATTTTTTATTGAATTGTGCATGATATTTTATGCGTATGTGAAGCTCTCCCATAATTTTATTGTTTCACCTTCTTAAGGACGATAACAAACATAGATATCAAGTTGGACTTTGTACTGTGGAGCCGACATTTATCAATTTTCGTCGTCGGACAGCTCATAGGCATGAACTTCAATATCTATAAAAATGCTAGTCATCTTGCAAACGATGTATGCTGTTCTTGAAAAATATTACAGGCGGTTGCTTCAATTGTTAAGGTGCCGAAACTTATTTTGCTGCATTGAAGGGCCTGCTTTACAAATGCACGTGAGAGTCTCTTTTAAGCAAACTCTACAAAGGCGTAAGCAAACTCTACAAAGGCGTTGGGTAGACTTACGCCTCAGAGCCGTTGTTTGGGTGAGGTCCGACTCTCCTTAGGTTAAGCTGAACACCGATGGATCTTTTGACTGACTCACCAGAGGCGGAGGCCTAATTAGGGATCACAATGGAGCTCTAATTACCCTCTTTCACGCCACTCTTCAGGTCTCCTCAAGCTACGACGTGGAGTTCATGCGCTCTAAATTAACACAATTTTCATATTTATTGTATGAATCAATTCTAGATTCACCAACTTCTAGTGTTAAAATTCACAAGTTCCAATTTATCAAGCCATAAATTAGAACACTCAATAAATAAAATCAACTTATTTATCTTTTCATTAAACATTAGTATATATAAAGTATCATGATTTTTGAGAGTCAAACCATACGTTGTAATCAAGTGGTAAAAGAACATGCTAGAGTGACATATTACGT